TTTATACACTGATCAGTTCAGCTATGCAAGTGACAGATCATGTGCCAGCACCTATGCTAGAAATGGTGTCCCTGGATAACCGGAATCCATAATTTTCCCTTTGCGCTCACAGGTACACCTCACTCGTTCATTCAACAAACATTCCCTGGATCCCTATACCCTGCACCAGGCACTATTCTACATCGGAGTGGGGTGCGGGATCCATTAATGACAGACAGAAACCCTGCTCCTCAGGGAACTTACATTCTTGAAGAGGGGTAGTCAGACAAGTCAACCCTGCTTGCTGGTAGGTGGCAAGCGCTGTGGGGTAACAGGAAACAGAGTAAAGGGGGTAGGGGATGAGGATAAAATTTACAATCGTTGGTCGGAGACGTTCTCAATAAAGCAACTTGTGGGGAGGAATCTGGAGGAGGCACAGGAGCGAGCCACACGGACAACTGGAGGAAGACTGCCTCAAGCGGAGGAACCAGCAGGTCCTGAGGCTGACGGAGGGGGGACACGGAGCACGAGCCGGCCGCCGAGAGAGCTGGAGTGGTTAAAACAGGGCGAGTTGGGAGAGAGTGGTGGGAGGGGAGGCTGGTGAGGTCTTGGGGCGTGGGGGTCGTCTGCCTTCTGGGTTGAGAAGCTGCCAGATGGGTGAAGGCTGCAGGGAGGACCAAGCAGGGGCAGCAGCGGTGGTGAGAAGCGGTCATTCTCTGGCAAGATTTCGAAGGTAGAACCGACAAAGATGTGATGCAGCATGTGAGAAAGTCGTCAAGAGTGACTTCAAGGTGTCTGGCCTCAGCAATTTTAAACAATGGACCTGCTATTTACTACTAGGGGAGAAAGCTGGCAGTGTGAGTGGATTTGGGGGAGAAAAATAGGGGTTGATATGACATCCAAACGGAGGTGTTGAATATGAGCCCTGAGTTCAAGAATGTGAACGGGCCAAACTTGCAAATATATAAGGTGTGTCCTATTGCCTCTCATTTATCCAGTGCCCGTTCTGTCTTTAAATGGATCTTGTGAATGGAATGCCTCAACCCTCCACCAGCTCCTTTAACTTATCAAAGAGATGTGGTACAGATGAGAGGTGAAGTGGGGGGTATGAAGTTAGACCACATTGATGCACAGCCCTGCTCCTTACTAGCTGTGTGACCTGCCTTGGAGGAGTAACCTAACCATTCTAACTCAGTTTCCTCACCGACAACCAGGGCTGATGGTACCTTCCTCTGGGAACTTCTGTGAGGAGTGAGGACAACTCCAGATAGCTGCCCGCCCAAGACTCTGAACAGTACCTGGTACTGCCCCAAATGCTCCACCAGGGTGAGCACTTAGGATTGTCATTTGTGCGGGGAAAACCTCAGGCCAGCAGGGAGCAGGGTATGAGGGGGAACCAGGGCCAGGCAGGCAGACCGCTTGCCCGTAGCTGTGCACCTAGAAACGGGGGAAGCTAAAAACAAGCCTCAGAAAGTACTGAAGCTACGAGCGATCTCAACATCACAGTTGATTTCATCAGACATCGGCTGATGGCGCGCTTTCTCTGAGCCGTTCGGAACTGTAACCTTGTCAAAATCGTTCAGCTGGGATGTCAGCGCTTCGCAGAGGAGGGGATCACACAGTCTTCTCTCTCTCTGGAAGTGCAACCAAAAAAAGGGCCGAAAAACACCTACGGCTTTCAGCGGCCCACACCCTGCGGCTGGGGCCTCAAGGAGCCCAGATGAGGCGCGACTCTCGGTCGCCACGAAGGATCCGGGGTAACTGGCGGGAATTGGGGGGCTGAGTTGAGGGTGGGGGTGAAAACAAACCTGACATTCTCAATCCTCGGCATGGGGCACCGCCACAGGATTAAGGGGTGGGCCGGCTTGGCAGCCAGGCCGGGAAAGAGGGAAGCCCGGGTCCCCGAGAACGAGGGGGCGGGGAGAGAGCGTGGCGCGCTGGGCCCGCGACCAGGCCCCGAGATCTATTTACATCCGAGGTCGAGGTGCTGCGGCCGTGCCTCCCGCCCCCTTCGGCCCCCGGCCTGGCCTGCGAGGCGGTAGGGCCTCAGGATCGCGGTCCCCGCCGTCTCCCGGGCCGTCTGGCCGGACAGTGGAAGGGCCCGGGGCTGCCGGGACTGATGGGTCGGGCGGGTGAGCCCGGCCTGAGGGGATGCAATGGGGGGCGGCTGCAAGGCCCACTGGGCCGCTCTTCCGGAGCAGACAGGCCCCACGCACCCGGAGTGCTCACCCCTCGGGCCTGTGGCCCCCGGACCTCCCGCTGCCCGTTCCCTGGCCGCCAGCTGGCCCCAGACGGCGCCTCCCCTACCTTCGTTCGCCAGGTCCGCCATTTTACTTCCTTAAGCCCTCCCACAAGGCCCCGCGCCGGCCCGGGCTCGTCTGCTTTCTGCCAGAAACTCCCGCGCGTGCGCACTTTCCAAATCGACTCCGAGCGAGGCGGGCAGCTAGCGCCTGCGCGCGGAGCCCGGCACTGAGACGCGCTCCGGAGAGCAGTTCGGTTCTGGCCCAGCTCGTAGCACGCGCCTGCGCATTAACCGTCCCCGCCTCCTTTTCCCGCCGACCGAGGGGGCGTGGGCAGGGCAGGGCGCTCGCCCAGTGAGCCTCGAGCGCGCGGCGAGCAACGGAGGATCCGAAGTTCTTTACAGCCGCCCGGCCGGGGTGGGTTTTCAGCCCCTGCTTTCCGATTGTTTTCCGGCCCTGCCCCCGAGGCTGGAGCGTGGACAGCGGAGGGCGCCGCAACAAAGGCCTTCTAGGTAAATCCCTGGGTTGGGGCGGGGGGGAGGCTTTTCACGTGCGCAAGCCCGGGGCTTGGAGGGGACCCTGGAGAGGGGTCTTGGGGCGCCCTTTGTCACCTCAGGCCTCAGATTTCACTTCTAAGGAACCAGTACGTCAGGCAAACTTTCTGAGGCCACGTGGAGAGGTGGGGAATGGTTGGGGGAAATAGAGGTCAGAGGTTGGAGATCACTGGCCAAAGGGAAGGTTCATGGGGGTGGGGCGGGGCTCAGATGTTGATCGGGGGAGTCAGCGCAGGGGACCTGACCTCATTGAACCGTCAGAATGGGCGTTCCAGGACGAATGCCCACGAGGCCCTGGACCGATCTGTCTTCATAGATCACGTGGGCTGGCTATCGCCCACCGTCTGGAAGACAGTGAAACCTACACAGGTGAGAAAAGCAGGCACCGGGGCAACCAGGCAAAACCTTGGTGGTTGGGCATTTTCGGAGTGTAGAATGTAGGGAGAGCAAACATAACGCCATGACAAAAGGCAGAAGCAGGAAGACCAGGCCCTCACCCTGGCAACTAAGGCGACTATCAGGTCACCAAGACACAACGAGTCAGAGACTATCAGGCCACCCAGATACAGCCAATCAGAACTTGTTTACGGAAAGATCCCGCGCGCGCGAATGTCTGACCAATGAAAAGACCCCCGCGAACATGTAACCAATCCGCTTCGCTAATTGACCCCTGCTTATGTTTGAAATTGGATGGCCTATAAATATGGGTAGAAAAACCGGGCTCGGGGCTCTCAGCCTGTGCGCCACTGCGTTGGACACAGCGGGGGCCCTAGCTCGAGCTAGCAATAAACTTCCTTCTTGCGTTTTGCGTTGTCTCTTGGGACTTCTCTCTTCCCTCTCGGGGATTCGGACATCGGGCATAACATTTGGGGGCTCGTCCGGGATCCCTAGGCGAGGAGAGAAACCTCCCGAGACAGAAGGGAGAATCCAAACGGTACCGGTACCCAGTCAGGTCAGGAAAATCCAGTGTGAAACCGGGGCCTGCTAGGAGAGCAGGGAGGTAACTGGTGCAGGACTAAGGAACGTTCCTGCCGGTGTGAAACCAAGGCCAGCGAAAACGCTGGAGGGCGACCGGCTCTGCGGAGAAAGGGGTCTTTCGTCCCCTGATCCCGCGGCAGTTGACCAGTGGACACTGTTTGGTAAGTTGAGTCTGTTACGGGGGAGTGCACCCCCCCAGAAACCTAGCATTTGGTTGTCGGCCGACAATTGTCTGTCCGTGTGTTTGTCTACGCCGCTCCGTGTTTGTGTGAGTGCCGGCATTGTCTCGCTTCTTGTCTTCTTTTGGTGTATCATTTGCTATTTCGTTTTGTCTGATCTGGTCTCAATTTCCTAATCTCTTTGGGAGCTTCAGTGAACGGGCGAACAATTGTGGGGGCAATTGATGGGTCCTGGCCAGGGCTACACTCTGGTGGACTCTGAAGGCCCAACAAAAGTGAGCCTAAGTAACTAGAGCCCGACCGGGTGAAGCTCCCCCTTAATATCTCAAACTGAGAACGTGGCCTAAAATTCTTGGTGTGGGCACGGGTCAGGCACTTAAGAGCCGCTAGGGCGCCTGCCACTTGAAGACTCCCGTGAAAGGATAAGGGGGTCACGGAACGGGCCAGAAACCCCTAGGGTGCCCGCCCCCAGCAAGAAAACTTCCGTGCAACGACGCAGGCACATAAACAGTTCCAAAAGCATACCATAAGCCCAACCTCTTGGCCGCCACCACTCCTGATAGGATTTTTGGTGGTTGTTCTCATTGACTTCTCTCTCCCTCTTCTTCCATACCACTTGTTCCTTAACTATGGGTCAGGGAGAATCTACTCCACTCTCTCTCATGACTGATCATTTTCCGGATGTGAGAGCCAGGGCTCATAACTTGTCTCTGTCAGTCAAGAAAAGTAAATTAATAACTTTGTGTTCTGTAGAATGGCCTACCCTCCAGGTTGGATGGACCCCGGAGGGTACGTTTCAGCCCTCCATAATACAGGCGGTGAAAGAAAAGATAATGGCGCCAGACCCCAGGGGCCATCCAGGCCAGGTCCCTTATATCGTGGTCTGGCAAGATCTGGTAGAAAACCCACCTAACTGGTTAAAACCTTTCGTCCACAGAACTTCTAATCCACAGGTCCTGGTGATGGAACTCACTTCGGAAGAAACTAAGAAGAAAGAGAGCTCAAAACCGGTCTTTCAGGATGCCTCTTGCCCAAACCTAATAGACTTGGAAACAGAAGCAAGNAAAGGCAACTGTACGAGAGATAATTCAAGCCTGTAAAGCGTGCCAGTTAATGAGAACAGAGAAGAAGCAACACTCAGGAGTGAGGTACCGGGGGGAGGGGCCCGGGCAACACTGGGAGATAGACTTTACTGAGGTAAGGCCAGGGAAGTATGGGTATCGCTATCTGTTGGTTCTGGTAGATACCTTCTCGGGGTGGGTGGAAGCTTTCCCCACTAAGGGAGAGACAGCCATAGTGGTTGCTAAAAAGATCTTAGAGGAAATAGTGCCTAGGTACGGGCTGCCAGTGACTATGGGCTCTGATAACGGACCTGCCTTTGTGAGCCAGATTGTACAAGGGCTGGCCCGAGCTCTGGGGACGAAATGGAAGTTACATTGCGAATATAATCCCCAGAGCTCAGGACAAGTTGAGAGAATGAATCGGACCCTAAAAGAAACACTGACAAAGTTGGCAATAGAGACTGGCTGGGACTGGGTGACCCTCCTTCCCTTCGCACTCTTCCGGGCGCGTAACACCCCTTATAAGCTGAACCTTACCCCCTTTGAAATTTTGTATGGAAGACCCCCTCCTGTGTATCCTATTTTTGGAGGAAAGTGCCTGCCACCCCCTGCTCTGGGACAATTCCGGCAAACAATAATGGCATTAAGCAAGGTGCATAACCATGTTTGGAAGTTGATCCGGGAGGTATACGAGGACCAAAGTGAGAGGGCCCTCCCCGCACATAATATTAGCTCGGGTGATTGGGTTTGGGTAAAACGACACCAATCTAGAGTATTAGAACCTAGATGGAAAGGCCCTTATGTTGTTCTCTTGACTACTCCTACCGCTGTCAAGGTTGACGGGATTGGACCCTGGGTTCACTGCAATCACGTGCGGCAGGCCACGCCAGAGGAACGAGATAAGGCATGAACAGAATAGAAGGCAAATGCTCATCCGTCGAATCCTTTAAAACTGAAGCTCACCTGCCGGGAAGCCTCCTAGTTCTCTTGCTGATGGCAGCCCTCATCAATCCAGGGATGACTTCTCACGGCCCCCAGACCAACCCCCACCAGCCGGTCAAGGTTACCTGGAAGCTCAGCGACGGACAGACCCACGAAGTGCTCAACCAGACCTCGGAGATCCATCCCATTAACACTTGGTGGCCAGACCTATACTTTGATCTCAGGCAACTTTTTCATACTGGACCAGGGTGGGTGAGAACGGATGGGGAATATCAATGGATGTCAGGGTTTTACGCCTGTCCTGGTGGCATTAAGGGAAACTGGAAAGCATGTGGGGGTGTAGAAAGCTTTTACTGTGCTAGCTGGAGTTGCGTAACCTCATGTGACGGGCCCCACAAATGGGATGTGGGAAATCGAGACTTGGTGAATTTTTCCTTCGCAGGCCAGCAGAGCTGGCTCCCGCTACCACAGTCATCGACAGTACGGGTACAGCTTAACCTAGAAAGGGCAAAAAGAGAAAACAAGTGGACCTCCGGACTGACTTGGGGATTTCAACTCCACGTGAGTTGGCCCGGTCCCTATCCGAGTGGGTTATTGACCATAAGACAGGTTATTGAGCCAGTGCAAACACATAGTGTGGGTCCCAATACAGTCATAACAGAAGGGGAGCAAGAACTCGCAAGTTCCTCCCTGCACAAGCCTGGCTCAGGGCGAGCAGAAACGGGAGCCAAAGGGGCCTTAGGGCCTAGCCCCTCTAGATCAAGCTCGCAGGAAACATTTAACCCCTCCTCCACTCCAAGCCCTGAAAACAACCTGACGGAAACCCCTAGCCCTCTGATTGTGACCATTAGTCCAGCCTTCCAGGATCCTCTATGGGCCTTGGTGAATGCAGCTTTTGTTAACTTTATTTTTTTTATTTATTTATTTTTTTATTTGTATTCCCCATCCCGGTCCCCCCTCCCACATCCCTCTCCACCCCATCCCTCTGGGTCCTCTCAGTGCACTAGGCCTGAGCACTTGTCTCATGCATCCAACCTGGGCTGGTGATCTGTTTCACCCTAGATATACATGTTTCGATGCTGTTCTCTTGAAACATCCCACCCNTACAAGGGCTGGCCCGAGCTCTGGGGACGAAATGGAAGTTACATTGCGAATATAATCCCCAGAGCTCAGGACAAGTTGAGAGAATGAATCGGACCCTAAAAGAAACACTGACAAAATTGGCAATAGAGACTGGCGGGGACTGGGTGACCCTCCTTCCCTTCGCACTCTTCCGGGCGCGTAACACCCCATATAAGCTGAACCTTACCCCCTTTGAAATTTTGTATGGAAGACCCCCTCCTGTGTATCCTATTTTTGGAGGAAAGTGCCTGCCACCCCCTGCTCTGGGACAATTCCGGCAAACAATAATGGCATTAAGCAAGGTGCATAACCATGTTTGGAAGTTGATCCGGGAGGTATACGAGGACCAAAGTGAGAGGGCCCTCCCCGCACATAATATTAGCTCGGGTGATTGGGTTTGGGTAAAACGACACCAATCTAGAGTATTAGAACCTAGATGGAAAGGCCCTTATGTTGTTCTCTTGACTACTCCTACCGCTGTCAAGGTTGACGGGATTGGACCCTGGGTTCACTGCAATCACGTGCGGCAGGCCACGCCAGAGGAACGAAATAAGGCACGAACAGAATGGAAGGCGAATGCTTATCCGTCAAATCCTTTAAAACTGAAGCTCACCCGCCGGGAAGCCTCCTAGTTCTCTTGCTGATGGCAGCCCTCATCAATCCAGGGATGACTTCTCACAGCCTCCAGACCAACCCCCACCAGCCGGTCAAAGTTACCTGGAAGCTCAACGACGGACAGACCCACGAAGTGCTCAACCAGACCTCGGAGATACATCCCATTAACACTTGGTGGCCAGACCTATACTTTGATCTCAGGCAACTTTTTCATACTGGACCAGGGTGGGTCAGAACGGATGGGGAATATCAATGGATGTCAGGGTTTTACGCCTGTCCTGGTGGCATTAAGGGAAACTGGAAAACATGTGGGGGGGTAGAAAGCTTTTACTGTGCTAGCTGGAGTTGCGTAACCTCATGTGATGGGCCCCACAAATGGGATGTGGGAAATCAAGACTTGGTGAATTTTCCCTTCGCAGGCCAGCAGAGCCGGCTCCTGCTACCACAGTCATCGACAGTACGGGTACAGTTTAACCTAGAAAGGGCAAAAAGAGAAAACAAGTGGACCTCCGGACTGACTTGGGGATTTCAACTCCACGTGAGTTGGCCCGGTCCCTATCCGAGTGGGTTATTGACCATAAGACAGGTCATTGAGCCAGTGCAGACACATAGTGTGGGTCCCAATACAGTCATAACAGAAGGGGAGCAAGAAATCGCAGGTTCCTCCCTGCACAAGCCTGGCTCAGGGCGAGCAGAAACGGGAGCCAAAGGGGCCTCAGGGCCTAGCCCCTCTAGATCAAGCTCGCAGGAAGCATTTAACCCCTCCTCCACTCCAAGCCCTGAAAACAACCTGACGGGAACCCCTAGCCCTCTGATTGTGACCATTAGTCCAGCCTTCCAGGATCCTCTATGGGCTTTGGTGAATGCAGCTTTTGTAACTTTAAACCGTACTAACCCTAATGCAACCCAATCCTGCTGGCTGTGCTATAATCTTCGCCCCCCTTTTATGAGGCCATAGGCCTCAACGTCTCCTACAACTTGTCTTCAGGCCAGAATCCACCTCAATGTCGATGGGAAGAACGTAAGGTTGGCCTCACGATGAAAGAGGTATGGGGACAAGGACTTTGCCTAGGCACAGTACCACGTGACAAGACTTCCCTTTGTGCTCAGACTAAGGGTAATCTAGGCCTCCAAGGAAAGGACTGGATTGTACCAGGGGCTGGAAGATGGTGGATCTGTTCACATACTGGGTTGACCCCATGTTTGAATGTGAAGGTTTTTAACCAGAGTCAAGAATTTTGTGTCCTGGTTGCTATAATGCCAAAAATTTTATACCACTCTGAAGAGGTTATTTACTCACATTGGGACCGGGAAACGCTGAGAGAAAAAAGAGAGCCAGTCAGTGCGATCACCGTGGCAGCCTTGTTCAGTCTTGGGCTGGCAGGGACAGGGACAGGAATAGCTTCACTGTCTCTGCAAGGCCAAGGGTTTTCCTCCCTCCGAGCTGCTATAGATGAGGATCTAACTCGCATAGAAGAATCAATCAGCCACTTAGAGAAGTCTCTGACTTCCTTGTCTGAGGTGGTCTTGCAGAATAGGAGAGGATTAGACTTGGTTTTTCTCCAGCAGGGTGGGGTCTGCGCGGCTCTGGGAGAAGAATGTTGTTTCTATGCTGACCACACAGGAGTCGTAAGAGAATCCATGGCAAAAGTAAGAGAAGGACTGGCGCAGCGCAAAAGGGAACGGGAAGCCCAGCAGGGATGGTGGGAATGGTTTGGATCCTGGTCGCCCTGGCTGACTCCTTTAGTCTCAACCCTCCTGGGCCCACTTTTACTGTTAATATTAATACTTACAATTGGACCTTGCATTCTAAATAGACTAATCACTTTTATTAGGACACAGCTAAATACTATCCAGATTATGATGCTGAGGTAACAGTACCGGCCGGTAGGCCGAAATGAAAAAGAGGAAGATTCCTCTTTATGAACAAAAGACAGGGGGGAATGTAGGAAGAAGAAACGGAATGTAGGAAGAGCAAACATAACGCCATGATAGGAGACAGAGGCGGGAAGGGAAAGACCCTCCTCTGGCAACTAGGACGATTATCAGGCCACCCAGATACAGCCAATCAGAACTTGTTTTCGGAAAAGTCCCGCGCGCGCAAACATGTAACCAATCCGCTTTGCTAACTGACCCCTGCTTATGTTTGAAATTGGATGTTCTATAAATATGGGTAGAAAACCGGGCTCGGGGCTCTCAGCCTGTGCGCCACTGTGTTGGACACAGCGGGGGCCCTAGCTCGAGCTAGCAATAAACTTCCTTCTTGCGTTTTGCATTGTCTCTTGGTAGCTTTCTCTCTTCCCGCTCGGGGATTCGGACATCGGGCATAACAGAACGTGGGTGAGTGCTCAGCACAGAGAGTCCACAATGCAGGGAACAGCTGGTCTCCTGACACTGCAGTTTAGCAATACGATCTAGGATTAAATGACACTCAACCAGTTGTTAAGTGACAATAATAACCAAACTCTACATGAAAACAGAAATAACTAATAAAGAAACACAAGTATGATAAGGCCACGTTTTGAGGGGCTAAAGGGATAAATCTATACCCTTAACATTGACTCAGACAGTAAAGAAATCTGTCTGCAATGCAGGAGACCCATGTTCAATCCCTGGGTCGGGAAGATCCCCTTGAGAAGGGAATGGCAATCCACTTCAGTATTCTTGCCTACAGAATCCCTATGAACAGAGGAGCCTGGAACAATCCATGGGGTCACAAAGAGTCAGACAGGACTGAGCGACTAAACACAGCACAGCACCGCATGCACATATATGTGTGTGTTATATGTGACTATATGCATAAATCCTTCACTGATAGATGAGTGCAGACATACATATGTACAAATAGATAACTTATGTGCAAACTTTGTTCCTCAATTGGGCTACTTACAGATGACATAAAGCTGTTCCATGTGGCTTTAATTTGCCCCTTCTTTCCTTAAATGTATATACCTTGCATTTAACCACTTAAAGTCCTCATGGTGCCCAGGGTGGAGCAGGTCCTTAATAAATTATTAATGACAAATGAGTCTCTCTGACAACTTTAACTGAAAGAGGAAAAAGTCCCCCGCACACTGGGATTTTGTTTGATGTTGGCAGGTAATCTTTGTTTTCTCCTGAAAGCAGAGGGTAAGGAGCACATTTGCTCACCACTTGGCAGACCTGCAGACCTGGGACACTCATCCCAGCCACTCTCCCTAGTTCACTGCGGCATGAGCATCATTTGTGTCGTCAATGGTCCAAATCCACTTTCAGTAAATAATTAAAATGCAAAGAATGAACCTCAAACATCTGCCTTGAGATTTGTACAACTGGGGGATGCATGCAAACTGAAATGCAGTTATTTATTATAATCTTCATTCTAGTAAGCCCAAGGGCAACATGAACTCAGTTTATTTACCATTTACAGTTACTACTTATCAAAGCTGAAGTGTTTCTTATCTCTTGAGGTTCCAGTACTGATCAACATATTATTCAGATGCTAAAGAAACTTATACAAACTGTGTCATACCAACTTAGGAACTGGCCTTGGGGAAATACACATCTCAGAATTTAATAGTAACCAAACTTTCTGACTAAAAGGAGAAGTTTTATGTTTACTCTGCTCAATTTCTTCAATTTAAAAAATGTGAAAAAAAAAAACTTCCCCTCAAAAAATTAAATAGATTTTCCAGCCTTTGAACACCAAGGAATTTTAATGAAGTCTAATAAACAAAGGGAAAAATATTTGAAAGTTTGAGACTATATTTGGAAAATTTAAGTCTGATTTCCCATTTTACTATAAATATTATATTTATCTTCCTGTCCTACTGCAAAGTACCAGTCAGTGTCAAAAAAAGGCTTTAAAATGCAAATTTACTTTTTCTCATTTAACAATCATTTAACTGCATTTAACTGAAAAAATAACTTTCTAACGCTGGGGTCCTCATGTGTATGTAAGAAACCGTTTTGTTATTTACTTTTTTCATTACAACTTTAAAGCAGTTTGCACATTGAGATGTGCACTTAAAACAGAAAAATCAAATATATTCATAAGTGAAACCACTCTGTGTGCCGTAACAATGCTTTATGTGAGCACAAAGCAGTTCTCTTAATTGATGTCACATGTGCCTTTGAACTGCCAAAGACCTCTCATTCCTGATTTTCACAGAAAATTTTAGGCATAAATATACATTGTCTTTGAAATCACTTGGTTCTGCTACAATCCTCAAACAAAACTTTACTCCCTCCTTACCATCAGCTATTTAATACTTTTTAGAATGAATTATATGTTAGATTAAAGTGGTGCCTTTTGCTTCTGTCTCTGCTCTTGGTTTTTATAACTTATGAGACTTAAAAATCACGAGAGAAATCAATTCCAAGAGGCAGAACAACACAGAGTTTAGGAACAAGGTCTCCTGGAACCAAACCCTGACTCAGCTACTTTATCTGTGGGTTTGGTCAATGTAACCACTTTTTCCTGGTTCATATCTAGATGATGGGATAACAAAATTGCCTTCCTCAGTAGAATTAAAAGGGTCAATTTGTATAAAGCTTTGGGAATCTAGCCTGGAAGATATGGGAGTCCAAGACTAGTCTTACATGAGCTGTCATCCATAAGGTGTGTCCCTCAACACCTAAATAGGCATCAAACATGAGCTGGGGCAGATTCCCAGGTGGTGGTGGTGGTTTAGTCACTAAGTCATGTCCAACTCTTTGTGACCCCATGGACAGTAGCCCACCAGGCTCCTCTGTCCATGGGATTCTCCAGGCAAGAATACTGGAAAGGGTTGTCATTTCCTTCTCCAGGGGGTCTTCCTGACCCAGGGATTGAACCTATGTCTCCGCTTGGTCAAGCTGGCTTAGGTTCCTAGGTGGCCTCTCCATAATATCTGCCTTTTGGAGAAGTGAGTGCAAAATAATCAAGTTTATGAATTTCATCCTAATTGCCAGGAGAACTGGGAGGATTTAAGCAGTGAAGTGTCATGTTGTGACTTGTATGTGCTTAAAGAAGGAGCCGGCGGCTGTGTGGAAGGAGACTGTGGAGGAAGGTGAATGGAGGTGGTTCCACGGGTGCAAGAGGTGGTGACTTGGTGTACGTGGGGCCTGAGCGGGCAGCCGAGTGTACTGGGTAGAGTGGGTGGAGGTGATGGGACATGATGCAGCAAATGTGGGGCAGGAGGAGGATGGCTCTGAGGAGGGAACTGGGGGTCCAGACTGTGGTTCTGAGCTCTCTTCTTGGCTGTGGGTAGCCGGGAATATCCTAGGACATCTGAACTCTGGGTGTATTTCACAACTGTGGGAACTCTCATATCTCCTCTCCTTACACTCACCCCCACTAATCATGAAATCTATTTAATATTTAAACTGTCTGTTTATGGACTCATGGAATGAAAAGCCTGCAGTCACACTACAGCACAATTCACTGTATCCCCAGGCAGACCTGGGAAGGTCATGACCCCTGTGCTTCTGGGATGCCCAAAGCTTTGGTACCAAACCAAACAGTCACCACATGGCTTTACCAGTGGCAGTAGGGGACCTACAACAGGACACTGTGACCACATCAAAACACTTCTCCAGATATTTTCATGGTGTCACCTATCAAATGTATGTGGTTGCAAATTGTGAACTTTGGATATTTCCATTATTTACTTTGTATGAATTTAGCAAGAGGTGAAAACACTACTTTCTCCAGAGGACTGTTAGTATCACTGTATGATGCAACATAGACAAGTGTTTAGACTTACCACTCAAAACATGGGTGTAGATCATCACTGTCACCTCAGCAGACCTAGCTCAGTCCCCATGGGATCACTGTCTGCTCCATAAAGACTGACCAGGCACTCACGTTACCTCCTCTATGTTTGTCTGTCTGTCATCTCCCCCGGAGGGCTTACATCATTCTTTCTGTCCAAAACCCCGTGCAGACAGTCAGGCTGAGGTCCTGGCAGAGAAGAGGTGAGCCAGGGCACCTTCAGGTCTCCTGTTAAGAGTGACTCTCAGACTCCCCATGCCCAGAGGGAGACTTCACCCACTTTTCCAATGGAATTCAAGAAATGCTGTCTGCTTCCCTCTCTTTGAGCCTCTTCTGTCTTTGTCCATCCTCAACCCAAGACTCAAAAAGCTATGTTGTGCTTCTTTTTCTCATAATTCTCACACAGTTAACACTCATGTTGAATATACAGAATGCTAATCTATTTATTGGCAGAAAGAGGAGAGTGAAAAAGATGGCTTAAACCTCAACATTCGGAAAACTAAGATCATAGCATCCAGTCCCATCACTTCATATCAAATTGATGGCGAAAAAATGAAAACAGTGACAGACTTTATTTTCTTGGGCTCCAAAACCACTGCAGATGGTGACTGCAGCCATGAAATTAAAAGATGTTTGCTCCTTGGAAGAAAAGCATTGACAAACCTAGACAGCATATTAAAAACCAGAGACATCACTTGGCTGACAAAGGTCCATATACGGCAATGGTATTTCTGGTAGTCACGTACAGATGTGAGAGTTGAACCATAAAAGGAGGCTGAGCACCAAAGAAATGATTCTTTTGAACTGTGGTGCTGGAGAAGACTCTTGCGAGTCCCTTGGACTGCAAAGATATCAAACTAGTCAACCCTAAAGGAAATCAGTCCTGAATATTCATTGGAAGGATTGATGCTGAAGCTGAAACTCCAATACTTTGACCACCTGATGCTAAGAACTGATTTATTGGAAAAGACCCTGATGCTTGGAAAGATTGAAGCAGAAGAAAGGGATGAAAGAGGATGAGATGGTTGGATGGCATCACCAACTAGATGGACATGAGTTCAAGCAAACTCTGGGAGATGGTGAAAGACAGGGGAGCCTCGTGTGCTGCAACCCATTGGGTTGAGTTGGACACAACTGAGTGACTATAAACAACAATAAACCACTTGCATTAGAATTCTTGAGACGAAGGTGTAGCTGTGCATTGTTTTACCCAATGAAGAGTTGCCTTAACATAAACATGACTCATACAGATACTGAAAAAAAAGAAAAAGTCTGTGTTTATACTGAAAGGCATTCTGTCCTACATATATTTAGGAAGAACCAAACTGGCATTATAGGGATAGACTGACTGTGCATGTTCACTTCTCTATCCTGAGAAGCAACAGGCACACATGACAGACACCTTTCAGTTAAGCTAAGGATAAAGCTTCCATGGTTAAAATAAACACCACAGAGACTGTGTGTCTATGACCCCCAGTGAGCTGCATTATCTTCAAGTAAAATGATTTTCCTACAGCTTTAACGAGAACAGAGGTATCCATGTCTACCTGGACATTTTCACTAAAATCAGATATGTGCCTAGAGATATTTACAATCCCAAACAGAACTGATTTTGTAGGAAACTGAAAATTTTTTTTTTGCTAGTTTCCTAGTAAAAACAAAACAAGGAGACAGCATGACATAGACACAGAGATCAACAGAATAGACCAGAGAGCCTGAGACACTCATATAAACAGAACTGATTTTTGACAACTGATCAAAAGCCAATACAAATGGAAAAAAGACAGTTTTTCAACAAGTGGTGCTTGAACAACTGGAGATCTTCATGCAAAAATAAATGCTGGCACCCTCTAGAGAAACTCATTTGAAATGGATCAAACACCCAAATGTAAAGCACACAACTCCTAGAAGATAACACAGGAGAAAATCTATGTGACCTTGATTTTGGGGACAATTTTTTCAGGTACAAGATAAAAGGCATGCTCCATGAAAGAAAGAACTGATCAGCTAAACTTGATTAAAATTAAAAACTCTGCAAAAGACACTGTCAAGAGAATGAGAAGACCAGTCATAGACCACGAGAAAACATTTGCAAAAGACGCATCTGATAAAGGACTCTTATCCAAAATATACAAAGACCTCTTAAAATTCAAGAACAACAACACAAAATGAATGTCCTTGTTAAAAATGTGCAAAAGACCTAATTTGAAACTTCACCAAAGAAGTTAGACAGACGGAAAATAGAAAAGATGCTCCGCATCATATGTCATCAGGAAGATGCAAATGAGAACAAGGAGGTACCAGCACACACATACAGGAGCTGTCAAAACCCACAGCACTGACAGTATCAAATGCTGGTGAGGGTGTGGAGCAACGAAGTCTCATTCATTGCCAGTGCAAATGAAAAACAGTACAGTCCCCTTGAAGGACATTTGGTGGTTTCTTAACTAAACAAACTCTTATCATATGATCCAGCAATCATGTTCCCTTACATTTATTCAAAGGAGTTGAACATTTATGTCCACACAAAGTCTTGCACACAGATGTATATAGCTGTATTCATAATTGCCAACACTCGTAAGCAACCAAGATACCCTTCCATAGTTGAATGGATAAATATACTGTGGTTCATCCAGACAGTGGAATTTTATTTTGCTAAAAAGAAATGAAACATTGAGTCATGAAAAGACATGGAGGAATCTTAAAGGCATGTTACTGAGTGAAAGAAGCCAGTCTGCAAAGGCTACTGAGGGATTCCAAGTTCTACGACATTCTAGAAATGGCAAGACTATGGAGATAGTAAAAAGGTCAGTGGTGGCCAGGCATTGAGGGATGAGGATTGTCTCAATGGTGCTTTCCTGACTCTCTGAAAATGCAACGATTATTTGCAAAAAAGAAAAACATAGATTAAAATGACAGCGAGGAAAATAAAACCTATGGAAGGAAGTTGATTATTTTTATAAACATTTATATGTTCATACCTAGAAAGTTCAAATAACTTTTTAACATGACTAAAATACTATACATAAAAAAGCCAATAAATTAATTTTATAACTGAAGACTTTGATGTAATATCCTAAGAGCAAAAATACTGTATAAGTAGAAGTACTATGTAGTTTTCAATTTTTAGAAACTAGGTAGTTAGATTACTTCCAGTTTGAAGCTAGTTTAACATAGCTTCAATGAAAAGCTTTGTGTACACTGTGTGTGTGGGCATGTGCTAGTGTGTGTGTGTGTGTGTGTGAACATTTGTTCTCTTTGGCTTTGTGTTATGGAGTTGATTATTGTTTTCTAAGACTACAGCTTAAGAATGAATCCAATACAATACTGCAAAGTAATTACCTCCAATTAAAATAAATAAATTAGGGAGGGAGGTGGGAGGGGGGTTCGGGATGGGGAACACATGAAAATCCATGGCTGATTCATGTCAATGTATGGCAAAACTCACTACAATATTATAAAGTAATTAGCCTCCAACAAATAAAAATAAATTTAAAAAAATAACAAAATAAAATAAATTAAAAAAATAAAAAACAATAAAAACTAAAAAAAAAAAAGAATGAATCCAAACTTGTGATTCTTTTTAGAATATCATCATGTACTCTTAATAGCTTTCCAGAAAAGTCACCCTACTTCACAAATCAGTGATGCATTTACTAAGCATCAGTGTGTTACACAGGCAGGCGATGTACAAATAGACTCAGGCCTCACCTTAACACTCAGGGAACTCAGTGAGATGGGAGACGCAGAGCAAACTTGTTGAATTACATTTTAATATTCTGTGTAGAGTGCTTGATGTCTCAATAACCTCCTGACTGAATTTCTCCAAACTGAACACAGTGGCATGGCCAGGATTCTCTGTGCATGTTTCAGGGTCGAGGTGCTGATGGACCCAACGTGATTCCATATGACCCACCTTCACGACTGCAGAGCTTATGTTGATGGTTAGAGTGGCTGATATGAATAGACTAATGTAACATGACCACAAGGCAGAGACAAATGCTCATATGCTGAGGGAAAGGATCTCGCACTGTGGAGGCCAGAGTTCTCACCCATGTGTCTGTTCCTCCTTAAATCTGAGGCCAGGCAGAGCACTGGACACTTACGTTTGCACGCAGGCGGCTTCCCCCTGTTGCTCCACAATCCATCCTCCTGACACACGGCTGTAGCTTGCTGACTAGCATCCAGCTTGAAGCCCTCATTACAAGCATAGGTCACTTTACTGTCCAGTGTGAACTCATTCCCCATAAATGAACCGTTTCCTGGGGACTCTGGGATTCCACAGGACACAGCTGGAAAAAACAAACAAACAAACCTGACAAGTTCAGAGTTATTCTGACAAGATATAATGAAATTTTCTTTTCTTTTTCTGTGTCTCATCTCAAAGATATATAAAAACTGTTAAATATTAGCATTTCTCATGTGTGGCATAAACAGGAATATTTACAAAGTTGTATGGGTCTTAAGAGTTAATGAGAGACAATGGAAACTGGGTCAAGATACAGCATCTTTTAAATTTATTAATCCAGAAGGTATGTCTGATGGCTCTCACACAGCTTCATCACATGGACATTATCAGATGGTCATGGTGAAGAAAACAGTGTAATGTGCTATAATTCATTTAATATGGGAAAGAAAACATAGATTAATATCTTTACCATCACAAATTTATCACCATACTGACTCTCTGGGGTTGAGATTTCATTAGAATCAGTTAGGAATAGCTCACCTCAGGTCTTAGGAACCTCCCACAGCTTAAGTCCTTTCACCCCACTTACCAAAGATTCATTTTCCTTAAAGCACAGGAAATTTTGTTTCAAGACAAATATTACCTTAGTTAAGAGCATCAATGCATCCATTGCTATAAAATGTATGAGTTTATCAACTATCAGTCAGAAAGCAGGGGCTGCAGAACTAAGGAATTAAGGGAGATACTCAGAATGGAAGGCTCAGTCCTATAGGGATGGACACACAAGCCAGTTTTTTAAAAAATTAGTTAATTTATTTCAATTGGAGGGTAATTACTTTAAAATATTGTGATGGTTTTTGCTATACATCAACATGTATCAACCACAGGTATGCATGTGTCCCCCCAATTCTGAACCCCACCTCCCACCACCCTAGCCTGAAAGGTTGGGCAAGAAAGTAGTACCAAAGAAGAAAGAACTTTTAACAACTAGTAAGATGAACAGAGAAGTTATTATAAGCACTTCCTTCTTAAATTTACTAGCTCTGATCCACACTTATTTACTGTGAGATGAAACAAACAAAAACAACTCTGAAGTTAAATAAGTTACACTAAGGAACCCAGGGTTTTCCCAGGTACTGCTAGTGATAAAGAACCTGCCTGCCAATGCAAAAGATGTGGGTTTGATCCCTTGGTTGGGAAGATCCCATGAAGGAGGAAATGGCAACCCACTCCAGTAGTCTTACCTGGAGAATCACATGATAGAGGAGCCTGGTGGGCTATACTTAATGGGTCCAAAGAGTCGAACACAACTGAGTGAGTGAGCACATGGAATCCATAGTAATGGAAGGTGACAAGACAGGAATCCCCCCAAATATACACACAACTCAGGAGCACTTGTCAAAGGAAATCTTTGCAATCACCAATTTAAGGCTCTTCTTTTACTCAATCAACATTGAAGATGTTATGGGTTTTGAAGCATCATGGATTTTTAATTTAGATCATTTAAAATATTTCCCACATAGCTTCCAATGAGAATACACACCTAGTAAGATAAAGGAGGAAGGACTGGTTGAAAAAGTTTATATAAACATGGGTATATATAAGTTTATATAATTTTATGGGTAAGGAAGAGGGTCAGAAAGATAGAATTATTCACCTGGGTTAGCACAGTGACTTTGTTTAAAACCAGGGGCTGGAGAACAGACCTGATTCCCAAGTGAGACCTCCTTCTGCTCTATAGGCACGCAGGTCACCTGTGGCTAAGCCTGAGTGTTTTGGTTGCTGTCTTTGTTCTTTTTTTCTGTATCAAAATCTTCAGTAAATGCAATAGGGAGTTATCAGAAGAGTTAAAGAAAATGTAGTGCTGATAAGAATCAAAGTTCTAGAAAAATTAAAACTCTAAAGTTTCTCTTATGCTTAAATTTATGATAAGCTATTTCAACAATCTAAAATATATAGATGTGTGTGTGTGTATAACTGTATATGTACATATGTGTGTGTGTGTATATATATATATTTGTGAGTGTATATGTATATATGTGCATGAGGGTATATGTGTGGAGATATATATACACACACATATACATATATATATATATACACACACGTGTGTGTGTGTGTGGGTGTGTATGTGTATGAGATCAGTTCAGTTCAGTTGCTCAGTCGTGTCCGACTCTTTGTGACCCATGGACTCCAGCACCTCAGGCTTCCCTGTCCGTCACCAATTCCCTGAGCTTGCTCAAACTCATGTCCATTGAGTCAGTGGTGCCATCCAACCATCTCATCCTCTTTCGTCCCCTTCTCCTCCTGCCTTCAATCTTCCCTAGCATCAGGGTCTTTTCCAATGATTTAGTTCTTCACATCAGATGGCCAAATGGAGTCTGATGGAGTCTGATGGAGTCTCAGCTTAAGCATCAGTCCTATCAATGAATATTCAGGACTGATTTCCTTTACAATTAACTACTTTGATCTCCTGGCATTCCAAGGGACTCTCAAGAGTCTTCTCCAACAACACAGTTCAAAAACATCAATTCTTTGGTGCTCAGTTTTCTTTATAGTCCAACTCTCACAACCATACATGACTACTGGAAAAACCATAGCTTTGACTAGATGGAGATTTGTTGGCAAAGTAATCAAGGAGCAAGTGTCTTTTAATTGCATGGTTGCAGTCACCATCTGCAGTGATTTTGGAGACCCCCAAAATAAAGTCTGTCACTGTTTCCACTGTTTCCCCATCTACTTGCCATGAAGTGATGGGACTGGATGCCATGGTTTTAGTTTTCTGAATGTTGAATTTTAAACTAACTTTTTCACTCTCCTCTTTCACTTTCATCAAGAGGCTCTTTAGTTTCTCTTCACTTGTGCCATAAGGGTGGTGTCATCTGTATATCTGAGGTTATTGATATTTCTCCCGGCAATCTTGATTCCAGCTTGTGTTTCATCCAGCATGGCATTTTGCATGATGTACTCTGAATATAAGTTAAATGAACAGGGTGACAATATACAGCCTTGACGTACTCCTTTCCCGATTTGGAACCAGTCTGTTGCTCCATGTCCAGTTCTAACTGTTGCTTCTTGACCTGCATACAGATTTCTCAGGAGGCAGGTAAGGTGATCTGGTATTCCCATCTCTTGAAGAATCTTTCATAGTTTGCTGTGATCCACACAGTTAAAGGCTTTAGCATAGGGGGTATAGCTCAGTGGTAGAGCATTTGACTAAAGGCTTTAGCATAGTCAAATAAAGCAGAAGTAGGTGTTTTTCTGGAACTCTTGCTTTTTCTATGATCCAACGGATGTTAGCAATTTGATGTCTGGTTTCTCTGTCTTTTAGAAATCCAGTTTGAACATCCTGAAATTCACAGTTCACGTACTGTTGAAGTCTGGCTTGGAGAATTTTGTGCATTACTTTGCTAGTGTGTGAGTTGAGTGGAATAGTGCAGTAGTTTGAACATTCTTTGGCATTGCCTTTCTTTAGGACTGGAATGTAAACTGACCTTTTCCAGTCCTGTGGCCACGGCCGAGTTTTCCAAATTTGCTGGCATATTGAGTGCAGCACTTTTATAGCATCATCTTTTAGGATTCGAAATAGCTCAACTGGAATTCCATCATCTCCACTAGCTTTGTTTGTAGTCGTGCTTCCTAAGGTCCACTTGTCTTTCCAGGATGTCTGGCTCTAGCTGAGGGATCACACTATTGTGGTAATCTGGGTCATGAAGATCTTTTTTATTTAGTTCTGTGTGTTCTTGCCATCTCTTCTTAATATCTTCTGTTTCTGTTAGGTCCATACAATTTCTGTCCTTTATTGTGCCAGTCTTTGCATGAAATGCTTCCTTCGTATCTTTAATTTTCTTGAAGAGATCTCTAGTCTTTCCCATTCTGTTGGTTTCCTATATTTCTTTGCATTGATCACCGAGGAAGGCTTTCTTATCTCTCCTTGCTATTCTTTAGAACTCTGCAGTCAAGTGGGTATATCTTTCCTTTTTCCCTTTACCTTTTGCTTCTCTTCTTTACTTAGCTCTTTGTAAGACCTCTTCAGACAACCATTTTGCCTTTCTTTTCCTTGGGGATGGTCTAGATCACTGCCTCCTGTATGGAGGAGGATGGATGGATGTCTCGAATCCCCATCCATAGTTCTTCAGGCACTCTATCAGATCTAATCCCTTGAATCTATTTTTCACTTCCACTTTATAATCATAAGGTCATACGATTCATGACCATGGTCATGGTCATTCAGGTCATTATCTGAATGGTCTAGTGGTTTTCCCTACTTTCTTCAATTTAAGTCTGAATTTTGCAATTAGGAGTTCATGATCTGAGTCACAGTCAGACCTCTTTCTTGTTTGTGCTAACTGTATAGAGCTTCTCTATCTTTGGCTGCAAAGAATATAATCAATCTGATTTTAGTATTGACCATCTGGTGATGTCCATGTGTAGAGTTGTCTCTTGAGTTGCTGGAAGAGGGTATTTGCTATGACCAGTGCATTCTTTTGGCAAAACTCTGTTAGCTTTTGCCCTTCTTCATTTTGGACTCCAAGGCCAAATTTGCCTGTTACTCCAGGTATCTCTTGACTTCCTACTTTGCATTCTAGTCCCCTATAATGAAAAGAACATCTTTTTCTTTTTTTTTTGGTGTTAGTTCTAGGTCTTTTAGGTCTTCATAGAACCGTTCAACTTCAGCTTCTTCAGCATTACTGATTGGGGAATGGACTCAGATTACTGTGATATTGAATGGTTTGTCCTGGAAATGAACAGAGATCATTCTGTCGTTTTTGAGATTGAACCCAAGAACTGCATTTTGGTATAAGACCCAGTTTCCCCCACAGTCAGTCTCTCCCATCAGGAAGCTTTCATAAGCTTATCCCTTATCCCTCAGGGGGCAGACAGAATGAAAACTACAATCACAGAAAACTAATCAAACTAATCATATGGACCACAGTCCTATCTAACTCAATGAAACTATGAGCCACGCCGTGTAGGGCCACCCAAGACAGATGGGTCAAGGTGGAGAGTTCTGACAAAATGTGGTCCACTGGAGAAAGGAATGAAAAACCACTTCATTGGACTTGCCTTGAGAGCCCCATGAACAGTGTGAAACGGCAAAAA